GAGAAAGAGAGAGTGAAAGAGAGAGAGAGAAAAAGAGAAAGAGAGAGAGAGAAAAAAAGAGAGAAAGAGAGAGAGAAAGAGAAAGAGGGAGAGAGAAAAAAGAGAGAAAAAAGAGAGAAAAAAAGAGAAAGGAGAGAGAGGAAAAAAGACAGCGAGAGAGAGAGGAAAAAAGAGAGCGAGAGAGAGAGACGGGGAGAGAGAGAAAGAAACAGAGAAAGAGATCAACAGTGAAGATGCTGAGACCCCGTTTCCTATTGTGGAGAGTTCAGGAGTAAGGGCCACGGTCTCGGTTGGAGAATGATGGAGGTGGCTATTTACAATTGAGATGACAACATTCATCTCTTAAATTCTGTGCCTTCGAGGGTTCTGGACGCTCAGTCATTGACTGCATTGAAGGCCAAGTTTCATAGATGTTGGTTCAATGGAAATCAGAGGATAAGGGAAAGGATAAAAAAATGAACTTAAGGTCAAAGAGTAGCCAACTACTTATTGAATGGCTTGTGTTATGTTCCATATTGTAAAATGACCATTATAAATGACAAAGTTAGTAAAATCAGCACTTTTTTTATTTAAGCAAAATAATATCAGTTCATTAAAATCAAATGTATAGAATAACATCTTATAGTAGTAAAAATTTTGAAAACGTGGTTAAAAGAAATAATAAATATTGGAAGAGATTTATGAAGAGAATTTAGCCAGTGCTGCCAATGTCTGACAACACTTAATACAATAGCCCTTTGCTATTACATAATCAACCTTTTAGTTTCAATGCTATTTTAAATATTGAAAATAATGTACATGCAAGAAAATGTTTTGTTGCTCATATTAAGAACCAAAAACAACTTGGTGTAATATGTCTTATTAATGACCTCCAGGAATTTCCCATTATCTGAGTAAGTAAATCCAACAAGTAGCTGGAACTTATAATCATGAAAGTCTAAAGTTCAGAACTTGGTCTTTGTTTGAGTTTATGATATCTGCCGAGCCAAATGTGGCAGCACTAAAATTAGGTTCAAGGGGGAAATGGCTTATCAGTGTAGCTGCTGTTAATCATTATCCAGTGTACCCACAATTCCTATCTCACTGGAGTGGGTGTTGGGGGTGTGCGTGGGTGTTGGGGGTGTGCATGGGGTGGGGGTGGGGATGTGTGTAGCTATTTGGTGAATACAGAATTGGGATAGGCTGTGATGGCCACTCAGGTCAAATCGCAGGATGGTGCTCACCTACATAGTTCACATAAACAATGACCACTTCAATGATTCAATGGGTACATTGCTGCAAGGAAGCAGGAAGAGAGAAAATGGTTCTGAGGAAGGGTCACTTGACTTGAAATGTTAACTCTGCACAGGTGCTGCCAGACCTGCTGAGCTTTGTCAGCAATTTCTGTTTTTGTTCGAGAGAAAATGGACTCTTTTAGCCAAATTTTCTTTAATGTCAAATAGGCTTTAAGTGTTATATTTAAGTGTTATATTACACCCAATAGGAACATTGTTGATAAATAACACTTGACTTCAGTAACACCATTTATTTTACCCTAATTTCCAAATAATATTATCGTATTTAAAATGTTGATATAATTTCAATTACCTGCCCTCAGTTGAAATAATGAGTCTTTATAGCAGTAAATTCATTTCCTTAAAACCATAACCACTTAGGAACTTTTCAGGGACTTTTATATGCGACTACTCCTGATCAGCATCCGTACAACGTGCAAACTGAATCCCAAATCCAGGACCGTACCGAGAGGCGAAGGTGTAATGTTATACAATGAAATCTCACACATTGTAACAGTTAGAGCCAGCACTGATGACTGGACAGCTACGGTAACCTTGACGCATACATCTTCTGCAGCTCGCCTTCGTACCAATTTTGCAGACGGAATTAAATTATAATTCCCACCCACACCGCACCCCCCCCCAC